AATCCCTCCTCATCACAGAATTCAAAATTCAGCTGGATGGATGAATACACTACAACATCCCGCCGTGGTTTTCCTTCCCATGGAAAACCACGGCGAAATCAAAACATCAAAACATGTGACTGTTCCACATGTTTTGATGTTTTCACACAGAAGCAGAAGTAGGAGAAAGAGGAAGCTTGTGGTCAGAAAGTGAGAAGGAGGGCAGTGTGATGTCATGTGGAGATGGAAGGAATTCAGCCACAGGAGCTTCCCATGTAAACAAATGCACATGGTGCACAAGGTCTGTATTGACTGTGCAGGGACAGGACTTATCAGGAATGAGTTAAGCTGTCACACTTATCCCATTAGTCGATTGACTGATTTCCTCTCACTAACTTCTTGGTAAATACTCAAGTGATAAATGTCATTAGTACAGATTTATTTTAAAAGACAGAGAAAAATCAAAATGATTTTGCAGTCTGTGTGGCAGTGATTCTCAAAGTGTGCCACACAAGAGGTTTTTTAATAGTTAACACCTTTTTTTTAATTACAAGATCATCCAATTTATAGCTAGTTAGGAATGCATCATACAATTTAATCCTAATAAAAAGCATAAAATTCGCATTTATATGATGAATCAACAGGATATGTAGGATCCAACAACACAAAAAATGCTTTTGTTCAATAAAATAAATAGTATACAAAAGTATTGATGTTAAAGAAGGAGGTCAGTTAAACTGAATGTTTAAAAAAAGTGATTCAATAAATAAAAATGTAGATGTGATCCAATATGGAGCTTAAGCCTGAAATGTGGGATCAGAATCAGCTTTATTGAGTAAGTATGTGTACACATATGAGGAAGTGAGAGTGTAGATAGACAACAGACAGTGCTGACAACAACACAGCATGTTTGTTGTGCAGAGTGTGAAGATGTTGGAGTAAATTATGAAATAAGGGATGGATAACAAGTTACTATATGTAGAATATATAAATGATGATTGACCCTCTGAGTGTCTCAGGTGCTGATCAGGTGACCCACGTGCCAAAAGGCTGCTCTCTTTTCCAGTAAAGGCAAAAGTCCCCCAGAAGATA